CTCCTCCTCCTCCTCTTCCTCCTCCTCCTCCTCCTCCTCCTCCTCCTCCTCCTCCTCCTCCTCCTCCTCCTCCTCCTCCTCCTGAGTCCTCCTCAGTCGTTCTCCTCCTCCTCCTGAGTCCTCCTCCTGGGACCTGGGTCCTCCTCCTGGGTCCTCCTCCTCCTGGGTCCTCCTCCTCCTGAGTCCTCCTACTCCTCTTCATCCTCCTCCTCTTCCTCCTCAATCATCAGTCCTCCTCCTCAGTCCTCCTCCTCATCCTTCTCGTCAGTCTTCCTCCTCCTCCTCAGTCCTCCCGATCCCCCTGTCCCCCTCCTCCTCCTATTCAGTCCTCATCCTCCTCCTTCTCAGTTCTCCTCAGTCCTCCTCAGTCCTCCTCCTTCTCAGTCCTCCTCCTGAGTCCTCTTCCTGAGTCCTCCTCCTGAGTCCTCCTCCTCTTCCTGAGTCCTCCTCCTCCTACGTCCTCCTCCTTCTCCTCCTCCTCCTCCTCAGTCCTTCTCCTCCTCCTCCTCCTCCCTCTCAGTCATCCTCCTCAGTCATCCTCCTCAGTCATCCTCCTCAGCCGTCCTCCTCAGCCATCCTCATCAGTACTCCTCAGTCCTCCTCCTCAGTTCTCATCCTCCTCCTCAGTCCTCCTCCTCATCCTTCTCCTTAGTCCTCCTCCTCCTCAGTCCTCCCCAGTCCCCCTCCTCCTCCCATTCACTCCTCCTCCTCCTCAGTTTTCCTGAGTCTTCCTCCTGAGTCCTCCTCCTCCTCCTGAGTCCTCCTCCTGAGTCCTCCTCCTGGGTCCTCCTCCTCCTAGGTCCTCCTCCTTCTCCTCCTTAGTCCTTCTCCTCCTCCTCCTCCTCCTCAGTCCTCCTCCTCCCTCTCAGTCATCCTCCTCAGCCATCCTCCTCAGTCCTCCTCAGTCCTCCTCCTCCTCCTCAGTCCTCATCCTCATCCTCCTCTTCAGTCCTCCTCCTCCTGGGTCCTTTTCCTCCTCTTCATCCTCCTCCTCTTCCTCCTCAGTCCTCAGTCCTCCTCCTCATCCTTCTCGTCAGTCCTCCTCCTCCTCAGTCCTCCCCAGTCCCCCTCCTCCTCCTCCTATTCAGTCCTCCTCCTCCTCCTCCTCAGTTCTCCTCAGTCCTCCTCCTTCTCAATCCTCCTAAGTCCTCCTCCTGAGTCCTCCCCCTCTTCCTCCTGAGTCATCCTCCTGGTTCATCCTCCTCCTAGTTCCTCCACCTTCTCCTTCTCCTCCTCAGTCCTTCTCCTCCTCCTCCTCCTCCTCAGTCATCCTCTTCAGTACTCCTCAGTCCTCCTCTTTCTCAGTCCTCCTCCTTCTCAGTCCTCCTCAGTCCTCTTCCTGAGTTCTCCTCCTCCTCCTCCTCCTCAGTCCTTTTTCTGGGTCCTCCTCCTCCTAGGTCCTCCCCCTCCTCCTATTCACTCCTCCTCCTCCTCCTCAGTTTTCCTGAGTCCTCCTCCTGAGTCCTCCTCCTGAGTCCTCCTCCTGGGTCCTCCTCCTCCTAGGTCCTCCTCCTTCTCCTCCTCAGTCCTTCTCCTCCTCCTCCTCAGTCCTCCTCCTCCTCCCTCTCAGTCATCCTCCTCAGCCATCCTCCTCAGTCCTCCTCCTCCTCCTCAGTCCTCATCCTCATTGTCCTCTTCAGTCCTCCTCCTCCTTTGTCCTCTTCCTCCTCTTCATCCTCCTCTTCCTCCTCAGTCCTCAGTCCTCAGTCCTCCTCCTCATCCTTCTCGTCAGTCCTCCTCCTCAGTCCTCCCCAGTCCCCCTCCTCCTCCTCCTATTCAGTCCTCCTCAGTTCTCCTCAGTCCTCCTCCTTCTCATTCCTCCTGAGTCCTCCTCCTCTTCCTCCTGAGTCCTCCTCCTGAGTCCTCCTCCTGGTTCATCCTCCTCTTAGTTCCTCCACCTTCTCCTTCTCCTCCTCAGTCCTTCTCCTCCTCCTCCTCCTATTCAGTCCTCCTCAGTTCTCCTCAGTCCTCCTTCTCATTCCTCCTAAGTCTTCCTCCTCTTCCTCCTGAGTCCTCCTCCTGAGTCCTCCTCCTGGTTCATCCTCCTCTTAGTTCCTCCACCTTCTTCTTCTCCTCCTCAGTCCTTCTCCTCCTCCTCCTCCTCCTCAGTCATCCTCTTCAGTACTCCTGAGTCCTCCTCCTTCTCAGTCCTCCTCAGTCCTTTTCCTGAGTTCTCCTCCTCCTCCTCCTCCTGAGTCCTCCTTCTGGGTCCTCCTCCTCCTAGGTCCCCCTCCTTCTCCTCCTCAGTCCTACTCAGTCCTCATCCCTCCTCCTCCTGGGTCTTCCTCCTCTTCATCCTCCTCAGTCCTCAGTCCTCCTCCTCATCCTTCTCGTCAGTCTTCTTCATGCTCAGTCCTCCCCCAGTCCCCCTCCTCCTCCTCCTATTCAGTCCTCCTCCTCCTCAGTTCTCCTCAGTCCTCTTCCTTTTCAGTCCTCCTGAATCCTCCTCCTCCTCTTCCTCCTGAGTCCTCCTCCTGGGTCCTCATCCTCCTAGGTCCTCCTCCTTCTCCTTCTCCTCAGTCATTGTTCTCCTCCTCCTACCTCTCAGTCATCCTCCTCAGTCATCCTCCTTAGCCATCCTCCTTAGTACTCCTCAGTCCTCCTCCTTCTCTGTCCTCCTCAGTCCTCTTCCTGAGTCCTCCTACTGAGTCCTCCTCCTCCTGAGTCCTCCTCCTCCTGGGTCCTCCCCCTCCTAGGTCCTCCTCCTCAGTCATCCTCCTCAGTCATCCTCCTCAGCCATCCTCCACAGCCATCCTCCTCAGCCATCCTCCTCAGTACTCCTCAGTCCTCCTCCTTCTCAGTCCTCCTCAGTCCTCTTCCTGAGTCCTCCTCCTGAGTCCTCATCCTCCTCCTTCTCCTCCTGAGTCCTCCTCCTGGGTCATCCTCCTCCTAGATCCTCCTCCTTCTCCAATCATACATCTACGTCTCCAGTGTCTCCAATGTCTCCAATGTCTCCAAAAGCTTTGTCTCCAATGTCTCCAATGTCCCCAATGTCTCCAATGTCTCCAATGTCTCCAAAAGCTGTGTCTCCAATGTCTCCAATGTCTCCAGGACATGTCTCTGCACCCTATCTTTTCAAAAAAGACAAAAGACATTGGAGACATTGGAGACATGTCACCCCCCCCCTTAACTAAAATTCAACTTTGAAAGTCAATAGATTATTAGTCACAACAAAATTATAGTTTAAGACATCCATTTTGCATTGTGTTTCCAATATTAGAATTTATGATATGTATTGATTGAATAATTGGTAATAAATTTAACTTTTGTTTTATTAACTTTTGTTTTATTATAGTGGACAAGTTCTCATTACCAAGGATCATCGGCTTTATACAAGCAACAAAACGTTTTACCAAATGTGGAGAGGACAAGGCTTAACCTTGCTTTCTGCACAGATTAACTTTACCGGGGTAAGCACAGGGCTTCAATGCTCTATCTTATAGTGGTTTTGATCTATTCCTTAGTAGTAAAGACCACTGCCCCCTACGAAGAAGATGGTGTGGGTCAGTTAGGTTCCTAAAGGAAAGACTGTATCTAACACCACTCTCAGGGCCCGGAGGAACTCTATGCAGTAGTCTGGATTGACAACCAGCCTTCATGATATTGAGAGACTTGTCTGTCGCTGGCACAGAGAATTCTGGGGGAGAAGGGGTACCTTTCCTGCCTGAAGGGTTGTTGTCGTTCCTTATAAAGTCCAGTTTTCTTGCTGCACCGAACGACACCGTACAAATGTCACTGTCCTGATCAATCAATGGTTCGTTGTCGTCATGGTAGTGAGACAGGCTGTCATGTTTCCAGAGGTGGCCTTATTGCTGTTAACAAAGTTCATCAGCTCGACAATTTTGGGGAACTTGTTGATCGGCTTGGGCTAGTTGACCACACTTCCATACTTATACGAATCATTGCGGGGAATCAGCCACAAGGTCTTTACTTTCTTTACTGTTGTGCGGTCTTCATCGTTATAAGTTCTTTCATTACCCCATCAACCAGGGGCTCTGGAAATTCAAGCTGGATGTGATTCACAAGATCCAAAAATGCTTAGGCTGAGGAGAAGTTGACGGTGATATAGGTTTGGGAGTGATAAAGGACTCTGTAGAGGGAGTGATAAGGGGCTCTGTCGGATGATCTTCCAGAATGATTTCAATGGCATCTTTGAAGTCTTCTTCATTGTCATTAATGAGGGATAGAATGTAAATTTCTGCTCTTGGGAGGCACTGAGAAGAAATTCAGTGATGAAGGTAGGTAGAAGTGGGGTTGGGTTAGCTTGCATCAATGGACAAAGTTAGTGTTACACCAGATGATCAGGATGGCAATCAGGGTACTAGGCAGCAGTCATCAGACATTCCCCGTAAAATGGAATGTAACGGCCTGAAAATAGAGACGGGCAGAGGGGAGTAAAACTTGTCTGGGGGTAAATTAAGTACCAATAAAGATCAGAGGGAGAGAATGGATCAATGATAAAAATATAAAGTTATAAGGTAAAATGTGAATCTAAAATGGATTATATTCAATTACTAGCCTGATTGAGAAGTTTAAGACCCCAGACAAGCTGGAGGATGCTAGGAGAGCTGCAGCTGCCTACCCTTTATGCCAACTTCACAACCCTAGGACTTCGGCTGGCTTTTACTCTGACATCGGCTGACTTCCGTTGCCATAGTTTTTAAATTATGTTCCTGATCGAAGTTGCAATGATGCTGATAGATTTGATACAGCTCAGCAGTCACTGTATTCAAATATAAAGAGTGTTCCAGTTCTGCAGTCTCAAATGTTTTCGCCCAGCTTTTCTTTTCATCGTGGTTATAGAAGACAGACCTGAAGAAATACTTGTAGTATGATAATATAGGTAACATGCCCAGAATGAGTAAAATTGTATAATTATAAAAATATGGCTGATTACAATTATATGCCTGATGGTGGGTTAAGTTGCAAAAAAGATATTTGTGTGACCTATGACGGCATTTCAGCAACTTCAGTAGAGGGTAGCAAGGGCCACACTTTGCACTACACTTTAGTCACACTTATCCAGCTCAGTCTGTTTCACCACTTACCAGCATAAAACAATTAAAACTCTTGAGCAGAGACTCAGAAACTTGAATTCCCCTTCTCTTTGGAGATAATTCTTCAAGTAGGGCTATATAAGTTGTGGCATAATGTTACAATTTGCCCTGTTACAGTAGCTCTATTTTATTTCAATTTACTTGTACACATAAGATAACAGAGTGAACGTGTTTAAAAAAGTAGCAAGACACATGGTATGCCCTATAAAGTATCACCGAACTATGATAATTACACCCAACATGAAAAGCTAACTGAGATTAGGAAGAGAAGAAACGTTGTGGTGTATGAAAGGTAAGAACTAGTAAGTTACATGATATGCTGGAGTGGTTTAACCATGGAACAAATGTTTACTGATTATGTATTGTATGCTTATTGAGCCAAATACTGTTATAATATTACAGTGACTTCTCATGTAAACTCTCCCTGACCAGTGACCATTGACCAAGCTAACAAAGTTTCGTGTTGGAAATTTTGTTTAAATATAAAGATTCCATACTAAGGTAACTTAAACAAAGACTACTGACGACCTTACAAATTCAACCTCCAAGCCTTTAAAAACATTCCCCCCACTTCAGATCTCCTGAAAACTACAACAACACAACCCTGTTTTTCTACCATGGAGCGGGAGGAACATACAAGCAATTTAAAAGTCAGATATCCCACCTACTGAGGCTTGGTTACCGAGTGGTCACATGTGACATGTTCGCTCATGGCAAGAGCAAGTGCCCAGCACGTCCGGAGAATTACATGTTCACGTTTGAGCAGTACTGCTATGATGCTTTGAGGCTGTTTGACAGATACAGTGTGAATAATCATAATGTTCTGATTGGACACTCGTATGGTACTAGGTGTGTTTACTAAATATTTTTAGCCGCATATTCTTCTACAGTATGCTTTAAAGCTGAAGAATATGTTGACCCATGTTAAAATATCCAATTATCAATACTTTGCGGCTGCCTCTAATCTAAATCATATAATTCACTGTAATAAAAAACAGTAATCATTTGTAACTTCATTGTTGAAGAATTTGTTTAATACCTCATCTAGACATAATATAACAAATTAAGTGAATACTGGATAATCATGACAAACATGACCAAACTGTGTAAACTGAAGAAACCAATGCGTTTCAGTTTGTGTACTCTAGTGTACAACGAGCGACAAAGCAAGGTGAAGAAGCTGATCCTGATAAGCGGAGGAGGACCTTTTGCTCTAGCTCCCGAAGACTTCTCTCTGTTTTCTCTACCTGCCTCTCTGCTCTCTTGCTTTAAACCTCTCATATTAAAAGTTTTCAAGGAGGTAAAACAACTGTTTTAGTCATCGATTAATCATGTATGTGTGTATGATTAATTACGTATTGTGGATGATGACATATCCGATGATGGGCAAAATTGGTTTCATTTCTTTATCATATGACAGATGGTATGATAAAGAATTTGTATAACTTCGTAAATGATTAGAAATTAGGGTTTGACCGAAACATTAGGCAGAAATGTAAGAAGTCGTGAAATTTAAGGACTCTTTTTAATTGCGTTTCTTTTTAGACAAAGCCGAAGATATTAACTGTTTGTTGAGCTGAATTTTCACCAACTTAACACAATATTGTTTGTCCTATTTGTTGTATTGTCTTGTTGTGTTAATAGTTGTTGAGTTATTAGTCGACCTCAAATATGATATGACAGAGATTGCTGTAACTATTAAACTGAAACTCGAGCCGTTGATTTGAAACTATGTTCTTATTTGAATGGTAGCTAGTCTCAAAGTCGGAATGTAAGATTATAACTTATAAGTTGTCGGAAAATATTCGACAATTCGTAGCACACCGAGCATTACTCGAATATTTGTAGTTTGCTTGACAACTAATTATCGATCACTCACAGCTCAAATTGCTTTGATTATTGACCTGGAAGCATAGCGTACATACTGTAGATCTGCTGAGGTAGATGTACGGTATTTGTTTTGACACGTGACAGTGATTATCGGTTTTGATTGGCCAATACTGGAAGCTGACTGGCTAATCATTCCTCCCTTCTAGTATCCATAGATACGTGTTAGTCTAAAAGAAATAACATTATTACTCTAACATGTGACACGTACTAAACACGTACTAAACACGTACTAAACACGTACTAAACACGTACTAAACACCTGCTAAACACCTACTAAACACCTACTAAACACGTGCTAAACACGTGCTAAACACCTACTAAACACCTACTAAACACCTACTAAACACCTACTAAACACCTACTAAACACCTACTAAACACGTGCTAAACACCTACTAAACACCTACTAAACACCTACTAAACACGTGCTAAACACGTACTAAACACGTACTAAACACGTACTAAACACGAACTAAACGCATACTAAACACGTACTAATCACTTATTTTTAGTAAAACATAATAAATGTAAGTAGACATCCGATAATAAACTTGTTCGGTCCAGTACAACCCAAGATGTCGGCCGACTAATAAAATAAAGAAAGCTAGCATGTTCATAGTTTTTCAAAAGAGCATACTTAGGCTGTACGGAAATTTTAAGGGGGCCGGGGGGGGGGGGGTCTTCATCAAAATTCTCTCGAAATTGACTTTGTAGTTGTTTCTGATGGAGGGGAGTGATATCTATCAGCTGTTTTTGGTCCCATGGAAAAATATTGTTCCTAGCCGAAATTATTGCCGGTCAAAGGTCAGCGCTTATGAGTAATTGTATTGCGCAAGCGATTTTCAATCGCGCGCCCTGAAAATCGAGTCTAAAAATCTATCTTCTCCTACATTTTTTGAGCAATCACCCTGAAACTTTCAGGATATGTTCTTAGGACCATTTAGAAGAGATTGTCGGACCAGAATTTTGAGATAGTCCTTAGAAAATTTTTTATTCGATTTTGAAAATCTTGGATGATTTTTGATGATTTTTTCAGGTCCAAGATTTTCAAAATCGAATAAAAAATTTTCTAAGGCCTATCTCAAAATTCTGGCCCGACAATCTCTTCTAAATGGTCCTTAGAACATATCCTGAAAGTTGCAGGGTGATTGCTCAAAAAATGTAGGAGAAGATAGATTTTAGACTCGATTATCAGGGCGCGCAATTGAAAATCGCTCGCGCAATACAATTACACATAAGCGCTGACCTTTGACCGGCAATAATTTCGGCTAGGAACAATAATTTTCCATGGGACCAAAAACAGCTGATAGATATCACTCCCCTCCATCAGAAACAACTACAAAGTCAATTTCGAGAGAATTTTGATGAAGACCCCCCCCGGCCCCCTTAAAATTTTATATTAAAAACTTTACATCATTTTTGATGTAAAATTAAACACATGCTAAACACGCGCTAAACACGTACTAAACACGTACTAAACACGTACTAAACACGTACTAAACACGTACTAAACACGTACTAAACACGTACTAAACACGTACTGAACACGTACTAAACACGTACTAAACACTAACTAAATACGTACTAAACACGTGCTAAACACGTACTAAACACGTGCTAAACACGTACTAAACACGTACTAAACACGTACTTAACACGTACTAAACACGTACTAAGCACGTGCTACACACATGCTAAACACGTGCTAAACATATAAGACTGTACATAACACACACTCAGTATCTGCCACTGAACTTGTTTCACTTCACCACCACACCCACTGTGTAATGTGTACTTCTTATATTCTGACTCCGTCTAATCAATCATTAAATTGTACGCCATTGTATAACCCATTGGGAGGTCACCTAAATACTTGACAATACGTTTTTAACATCTCAATATTAAAACAAACTCCAACTAAACCATTAAACTTAAAAAATACTCGGGTGTATATCAGTATTCCCATATATCAAACTAGTAAACTATATAATTATTAATACTCCCCAAGCGCAATTAAACCCGTTAACTATTATCTTAAATTATTAAAACACAATCCAGCCAAATAAAACCAGCTAATCTTACAAACACTCAGGTTTGTTTCCACTCGCCAGTAAAGAAGTCGTCAGTTCCCAACTCGGAGCTACTAAGTATAGAAATAGGAAACTTACAGCAAGTGATGAGAGGACAGAAGTGGGACGAGGGAGATGAGGCGTACCACGCTCTAATAAACTGTCCAGTCCTGCTGCTGGTGGGGCGGCATGACAAGTTTATACCGCTGGCAGATGAGATGACCATGAACCTTGTTATATCACAGTGAGTTTTATTCTCTTCTTTTTTCCTTCTTTAAAAAAGGGAAAAAGAAGAGTTTCATACTGTTCATATTATGTTTTTTTTGTTGGAACTAGGTGTTGTATGCAGCGTTTCCAGTGTTAAGATGTCGTAGCATTATATATATAACATTATATAAATAGAATGTATACTATCTGCTTTGTTGTTGAGACAAAATGTTCAGTAATGTATTTATGGTAATGCAGATATTGTAATGTTATATTGTGTAAGTGTATTAAGATATACAGTTTGTGACGCTGCAACCCTCTCACGAAAAGCTGGCCCCTCAATAATAGGATTCCTTGTCAACATGTATACTTCTTTAAAGAATTACCAAAATTAAAACTAAAATTGAATCTGTTGAATAAGTTGGTTGCAATTTAGGGGCCAGCTTTTTGTGAACGTAGCTAAGTGCCAATCTAAACACCTAGAAACGTTCGGTTGATGGAAAATACTGGAGAGTGTAGTTTTACTTTCCCAACTTCTGACAATAAAGCTTTTCTTGTACATTCCGATATTTTGGTGTACTACTGCAGTGCTGTGTGAGTTGTAAGCATAATTTAAAACTTGGTCATTTGTGCCTTAATTTATAAATTAGGAGCTGCTCAGCGCTCATATAATATCAGATCATTTCTACAGTGTAATATACAGTAATTCGGGTTGTTAAGTTTCTATGACGACTACTCGATAATACTCCATACTTCTAGAAAGATTGTTATTACTTGATGGTAATTTAATCAATCATGTTAAAATTCAAACACTTATACTTTTGGTATCCGAGACAACTCAGCCGACAACACTTAAACTTGACTTACTGTGAATCATGATGGCCGGGGGGGGGGACCAATTATCAACAAATTCAGTGTTTGTAGTAGTATAGTGGGAGTATTATTCTTTTAACGAATAACAATTTGTTTAACTCCTTGTATTTCAGGTCGGTGCTTCATGTTTTAGAAGGTGGACATATGCTACCAATTGACTGTTCTGATGAAGTCAATGACATCATCACTTCGTTTCTTATCAATGATCTTGATGTTCATTCCAAGTTGCACGAGAATACTATTTTTAAGGTAATTATATATATTTTTCTTGGCATATACGAGAGTTATTCAGTTATTGTACTTACGGAAAATACATTAATTGAACTTAATGCGCTATGGCCTCTCGCTTTGCAGTAGCAAGGATGCTCTTACACGCCCATAAATAATAATTTATGACAACATGTCAACTTAATGTCAGTTTTATCAATATGGGACGTGGTACTCGCAATGATTTATTCATAATTACAGAAGCCACAAGAAGAAGTGACATGACAAACAGCGAGGAGTCAAGAAAGTCGTCTGTCTTGGATGGGTAACGCTTAACATGTTGGAAATTGTCGAGGATAGATCGGATTATGGCTGCTTCACATGCAAGATCGCTTCATTTGCCGCCAAAGATAATCAATCGACGAACACTGAAGAAATAGTTGCTTATTCCGAGAGCACGTTTCCTTGATTTGTGTAGTGGATTTGTAGTGGATTTCACAGGTGTAGTGGATTTGTGTTCCGGGGTAGGTGGAACATGTTTTGGTGGTTAAATAGGTAGTACGTGACCCAAACGATCATAAAAACCGAGTTTCGACCTCCCAACCCACTCAGGCCACTCCCAGGGGCCACGCCCATCCCAAAATTACTGAAAATTAGGTAAAATCAAGACCGAAAATCTTTACCCCCGTAGTGCATTTATGTTCCGGGGTAGGTGGAACATGTTTTGGTGGTTAAATAGTTAGTACTTGTCCCAAACCATCAGAAAAACCGAGTTTCGACCTCCCAACCCACTCAGGCCACTCCCAGGGGCCACGCCCATCCCAAAATTACTGAAATCCAGGTAAAATCAAGACCGAAAATCTTTACCCCCGTAGTGCATTTATGTTCCGGGGTAGGTGGAACATGTTTTGGTGGTTAAATAGTTAGTACTTGTCCCAAACCATCAGAAAAACCGAGTTTCGACCTCCCAACCCACTCAGGCCACTCCCAGGGGCCACGCCCATCCCAAAATTACTGAAAATTAGGTAAAATCAAGACCGAAAATCTTTACCCCCGTAGTGCATTTATGTTCCGGGGTAGGTGGAACATGTTTTGGTGGTTAAATAGTTAGTACTTGTCCCAAACCATCAGAAAAACCGAGTTTCGACCTCCCAACCCACTCAGGCCACTCCCAGGGGCCACGCCCATCCCAAAATTACTGAAAATTAGGTAAAATCAAGACCGAAAATCTTTACCCCCGTAGTGCATTTATGTTCCGGGGTAGGTGGAACATGTTTTGGTGGTTAAATAGTTAGTACTTGTCCCAAACCATCAGAAAAACCGAGTTTCGACCTCCCAACCCACTCAGGCCACTCCCAGGGGCCACGCCCATCCCAAAATTACTGAAAATTAGGTAAAATCAAGACCGAAAATCTTTACCCCCGTAGTGCATTTATGTTCCGGGGTAGGTGGAACATGTTTTGGTGGTTAAATAGTTAGTACTTGTCCCAAACCATCAGAAAAACCGAGTTTCGACCTCCCAACCCACTCAGGCCACTCCCAGGGGCCACGCCCATCCCAAAATTACTGAAAATCAGGTAAAATCAAGACCGAAAATCTTTACCCCCGTAGTGCATTTATGTTCCGGGGTAGGTGGAACATGTTTTGGTGGTTAAATAGTTAGTACTTGTCCCAAACCATCAGAAAAACCGAGTTTCGACCTCCCAACCCACTCAGGCCACTCCCAGGGGCCACGCCCATCCCAAAATTACTGAAAATTAGGTAAAATCAAGACCGAAAATCTTTACCCCCGTAGTGCATTTATGTTCCGGGGTAGGTGGAACATGTTTTGGTGGCTAAATAGTTAGTACTTGTCCCAAACCATCAGAAAAACCGAGTTTCGACCTCCCAACCCACTCAGGCCACTCCCAGGGGCCACGCCCATCCCAAAATTACTGAAATCCAGTAAAAATCAAGACCGAAAATCTTTACCCCCGTAGTGCATTTATGTTCCGGGGTAGGTGGAACATGTTTTGGTGGCTAAATAGTTAATACTTGTCCCAAACCATCATAAAAACCGAGTTTCGATCTCCCAACCCACTCAGGCCACTCCCAGGGGCCACGCCCATCCCAAAATTACTGAAATCCAGGTAAAATCAAGACCGAAAATCTTTACCCCCGTAGTGCATTTATGTTCCGGGGTAGGTGGAACATGTTTTGGTGGTTAAATAGTTAGTACTTGTCCCAAACCATCAGAAAAACCGAGTTTCGACCTCCCAACCCACTCAGGCCACTCCCAGGGGCCACGCCCATCCCAAAATTACTGAAAATTAGGTAAAATCAAGACCGAAAATCTTTACCCCCGTAGTGCATTTATGTTCCGGGGTAGGTGGAACATGTTTTGGTGGTTAAATAGTTAGTACTTGTCCCAAACCATCAGAAAAACCGAGTTTCGACCTCCCAACCCACTCAGGCCACTCCCAGGGGCCACGCCCATCCCAAAATTACTGAAATCCAGGTAAAATCAAGACCGAAAATCTTTACCCCCGTAGTGCATTTATGTTCCGGGGTAGGTGGAACATGTTTTGGTGGCTAAATAGTTAGTACTTGTCCCAAACCATCAGAAAAACCGAGTTTCGACCTCCCAACCCACTCAGGCCACTCCCAGGGGCCACGCCCATCCCAAAATTACTGAAATCCAGGTAAAATCAAGACCGAAAATCTTTACCCCCGTAGTGCATTTATGTTCCGGGGTAGGTGGAACATGTTTTGGTGGTTAAATAGTTAGTACTTGTCCCAAACCATCAGAAAAACCGAGTTTCGACCTCCCAACCCACTCAGGCCACTCCCAGGGGCCACGCCCATCCCAAAATTACTGAAAATTAGGTAAAATCAAGACCGAAAATCTTTACCCCCGTAGTGCATTTATGTTCCGGGGTAGGTGGAACATGTTTTGGTGGTTAAATAGTTAGTACTTGTCCCAAACCATCAGAAAAACCGAGTTTCGACCTCCCAACCCACTCAGGCCACTCCCAGGGGCCACGCCCATCCCAAAATTACTGAAATCCAGTAAAAATCAAGACCGAAAATCTTTACCCCCGTAGTGCATTTATGTTCCGGGGTAGGTGGAACATGTTTTGGTGGTTAAATTTTCGGTATTGCGAAGGGGAGGTCTGCCTTCCGATATCGCATTACAAAGGGTAACCATTGAGTCCAAAATCGTATATCGAAGGGTAAGTGCGGACTTCGAAAACCGAAAAAAATATTTTTGGCTCAGAATGATCAGAGTAGCATGAAACATGAACAAAAGTAGTTTCCAGGAAAACTTTGAAAATTTTTGACTTCGAAAATTTTCGGTCCTAGTCATTCTCGATACGTACCTCTGAAAGCAGAGCTCCCGCTTCCGAGCTCGTATTGCGAAGGGGAGTCCTGCCTTCCGAGATCGCATTACAAAGGGGAACCCTTGATTCCAAAATCGTATATCGAACTTCGAAAACCGAAAAAAATATTTTTGGCTCAGAATGATCAGAGTAGCATGAAACATGAACAAAAGTAGTTTCCAAGAAAACTTTGAAAATTTTTGACTTTGAAAATTTTCGGTCCGAGTCATTCTCGATACGAACCTCTGAAAGCAGAGCTCCCAATTCCGAGCTCGTATTGCGAAGGGGAGCCCTGCCTTCCGAGATCGTATTACAAAGGGGAACCCTCGAGTCCAAAATCGTATATCGAACTTCGAAAACCGAAAAAAATATTTTTGGCTCAGAATGATCAGAGTAGCATGAAACATGAACAAAAGTATTTTCCAAGAAAACTTTGAAAATTTTTGACTTTGAAAATTTTCGGGGAAAAATTTTTAGAAACCTAAATTAAAAAGTTGGCCCTTTTTGGCCCCTTGCCCGGATTTCATGGGGGAAGCGATGCCCCCCCCCCCCCGCTTCCTACACCCCTGGGCCCAGACAAAATATTTTTGGCTCATATCATATACAATATAAACGATCAGTGTAGTATGGCTGGTGTGGGGGGGGGGGGGGGGCAATGGCATAAAATGGAGAATTACTCAAGGAGTGCAGCCCTCCCTTTTGCAGTGCGAGCTCGGAAGCGGGAGCCGTGCCTTCAGAGGTACGTATCGAGGATGACTCGGACCGAAAATTTTCTTAGTCTAAATATTTTCAAAGTTTTTCTGGAAACTACTTTTATTCACGATTCATGCTACCTTGATCATTATTAGCCGAAAATATTTCTTCGATTTTCGAAGTCCGGACCTACCCTTCGATATGCGATTTCGGACTCGAGGGATCCCCCATGTAATGTGATCTCGGAAGACAGGCCTCCCTTTTGCAGTGCGAGCTCGGGAGCGGGAGCCCTGCCTTCAGAGGTACGTATCGAGGATGATTGCCAAAATATCGATTATATGATATGTGAACGACCCTTACGCGTACGTGCGATCAGTTTATTGGGTTGAGACTAGATCCGCCCTATGGGAATCGTGCAGAAAGCCCAATTACGGTATCTTAGCACGCTATCACATGATTATTCACCCAATTCGATACCAAAATAAACAGGTTGCTTGATAACTTCGTCATTTTTAATCCCTTTGCGGACTTCTGCAGTAAGTAATACTAATTCGAATAAAATCATACCCTGAAGTGCTCCCTTTCGTGACTAATTTGGTTGACAAGTACTAACTATTTAACCACCAAAACATGTTCCACCTACCCCGGAACATAAATGCACTATGGGGGTAAAGAATTTCGGTCTTGATTTTACCTAATTTTCAGTAATTTTGGGATGGGCGTGGCCCCTGGGAGTGGCCTGAGTGGGTTGGGAAGTCGAAACTCGGTTTTTCTGATGGTTTGGGTCAAGTGCTAACTATTTAACCACCAAAACATGTTCCACCTACCCCGGAACATAAATGCACTACGGGGGTAAAGATTTTCGGTCTTGATTTTACCTAATTTTCAGTAATTTCAGTAATTTCAGTGATTTCAGTAATTTTGGGATGGGCGTGGCCCCTGGGAGTGGCCTGAGTGGGTTGGGAGGTCGAAACTCGGTTTTTCTGATGGTTTGGTACAAGTACTAACTATTTAACCATCAAAACATGTTCCACCTACCCCGGAACATAAATGCACTACGGGGGTAAAGATTTTCGGTCTTGATTTTACCTAATTTTCAGTAATTTCAGTAATTTCAGTGATTTCAGTAATTTTGGGATGGGCGTGGCCCCTGGGAGTGGCCTGAGTGGGTTGGGAGGTCGAAACTCGGTTTTTCTGATGGTTTGGGACAAGTACTAACTATTTAACCACCAAAACATGTTCCACCTACCCCGGAACATAAATGCACTACGGGGGTAAAGATTTTCGGTCTTGATTTTACCTAATTTTCAGTAATTTTAGGATGGGCGTGGCCCCTGGGAGTGGCCTGAGTGGGTTGGGAGGTCGAAACTCGGCTTTTCTGATGGTTTGGGACAAGTACTAACTATTTAACCACCAAAACATGTTCCACCTACCCCGGAACATAAATGCACTACGATGGTAAAGATTTTCGGTCTTGATTTTACCTAATTTTCAGTAATTTCAGTAATTTCAGTGATTTCAGTAATTTTGGGATGGGCGTGGCCCCTGGGAATGGCCTGTGTGGGTTGGGAGGTCGAAACTCGGTTTTTCTGATGGTTTTGGACAAGTACTAACTATTTAACCACCAAAACATGTTCCACCTACCCCGGAACATAAATGCACTATGGGGGTAAAGAATTTCGGTCTTGATTTTACCTAATTTTCAGTAATTTTGGGATGGGCGTGGCCCCTGGGAGTGGCCTGAGTGGGTTAGGAAGTCGAAACTCGGTTTTTCTGATGGTTTGGATCAAGTGCTAACTATTTATCCACCAAAACATGTTCCACCTACCCCGGAACATAAATGCACTACGGGGGTAAAGATTTTCGGTCTTGATTTTACCTAATTTTCAGTAATTTTGGGATGGGCGTGGCCCCTGGGAGTGGCATGAGTGGGTTGGAAGGTCGAAACTCGGTTTTTCTGATGGTTTGGGACAAGTACTAACTATTTAACCACCAAAACATGTTCCACCTATCCCGGAACATAAATGCACTACGGGGGTAAAGATTTTCGGTCTTGATTTTACCTAATTTTCAGTAATTTCAGTAATCTAAGTGATTTCAGTAATTTTGGGATGGGCGTGGCCCCTGGGAATAGCCTGAGTGGGTTGGGAGGTTGAAACTCGGTTTTTCTGATGGTTTGGGACAAGTACTAACTATTTAACCACCAAAACATGTTCCACCTACCCCGGAACATAAATGCACTACGGGGGTAAAGATTTTCGGTCTTGATTTTACCTAATTTTCAGTAATTTTGGGATGGGTGTGGCCCCTGGGAGTGGCCTGAGTGGGTTGGGAGGTCGAAACTCGGTTTTTCTGATGGTTTGGGACAAGTACTAACTATTTAACCACCAAAACATGTTCCACCTACCCCGGAACATAAATGCACTACGGGGGTAAAGATTTTCGGTTCGATTTTACCTAATTTTCCGTAATTTCAGTGATTTCAGTAATTTTGGGATGGGCGTGGCCCCTGGGAGTGGCCTGAGTGGGTTGGGAGGTCGAAACTCGGTTTTTCTGATGGTTTGGGTCAAGTGCTAACTATTTAACCACCAAAACATGTTCCACCTACCCCGGAACATAAATGCACTACGGGGGTAAAGATTTTCGGTCTTGATTTTACCTAATTTTCAGTAATTTCAGTAATTTCAGTGATTTCAGTAATTTTGGGATGGGCGTGGCCCCTGGGAGTGGCCTGAGTGGGTTGGGAGGTCGAAACTCGGTTTTTCTGATGGTTTGGGACAAGTACTAACTATTTAACCACCAAAACATGTTCCACCTACCCCGGAACATAAATGCACTACGGGGGTAAAGATTTTCGGTCTTGATTTTACCTAATTTTCAGTAATTTTGGGATGGGCGTGGCCCCTGGGAGTGGCCTGAGTGGGTTGGGAGGTCGAAACTCGGCTTTTCTGATGGTTTGGGACAAGTACTAACTATTTAACCACCAAAACATGTTCCACCTACCCCGGAACATAAATGCACTACGGGGGTAAAGATTTTCGGTCTTGATTTTACCTAATTTTCAGTAATTTCTGTGATTTCAGTAATTTTGGGATGGGCGTGGCCCCTGGGAGTGGCCTGAGTGGGTTGGGAGGTCGAAACTCGGTTTTTCTGATGGTTTGGGTCAAGTGCTAACTATTTAACCACCAAAACATGTTGCACCTACCCCGGAACATAAATGCACTACGGGGGTAAAGATTTTCGGTCTTGATTTTACCTAATTTTCAGTAATTTCAGTAATTTCAGTGATTTCAGTAATTTTGGGATGGGCGTGGCCCCTGGGAATGGCCTGTGTGGGTTGGGAGGTCGTAACTCGGTTTTTCTGATGGTTTTGGACAAGTACTAACTATTTAACCACCAAAACATGTTCCACCTACCCCGGAACATAAATGCACTACGGGGGTAAAGATTTTCGGTCTTGATTTTACCTAATTTTCAGTAATTTTGGGATGGGTGTGGCCCCTGGGAGTTGCCTGAGTGGGTTGGGAGGTCGAAACTCGGTTTTTCTGATGGTTTGGGACAAGTACTAACTATTTAACCACTAAAACATGTTCCACCTACCCTGGAACATAAATGCACTACGGGGGTAAAGATTTTCGGTCTTGATTTTACCTAATTTTCAGTAATTTTGGGATGGGTGTGGCCCCTGGGAGTGGCCTGAGTGGGTTGGGAGGTTGAAACTTGGTTTTTCTGATGACTTGTGACAGGTACTTCCTATTTAACCACCGAAAATGTTCCATAAACCCAGAAACACAAATCCCCTACAGGAGTAAAGATTCTCAGTCTGTATTTTAGGGGACTTCAGCTATTTTGGGATGGACGGCCTGATCCATTCAGCTGAATGGGGTTGGATGTGTTATTACGTTATTCATATCTTATTGTCTAAAAATACGAGCAGTTTATTGAGAACTCTGACGGCTACCGTCGTAGATTCTACAATAATAAATATTGTAACGTACGTGCGGCGCGCAAAATCCACTACAAAATCCACTACACATTTCAGGGAAACGTCTTCTGCTTATTCCTGGGGCGCTAACGACAAACGAGATTTTGCTACATCTTATAGCGCAAAATTATGAAATATTGAGCCGCGCATGCCCATATTTAGATCATGTTGTTATAGAAACCAAAGCCCAAATTTAACCTGGGGTTAAGATAAGATAACAAAATTGGCATCAGTTGGGGTGCGCTGCAAGCAATCGGACTCGTCCGCGCTGCTAATAAAATCTTTGTCGCATACAATTCGCTCGATTGTAACCATCAACCATGCACCTTAATCCTATCAAGGTGTTCAATTATCATTACTTCCGAAATACTCTTTGTGTACAGTCATTTAACTGACTAAACTCCACATTTTTTCTTCAAAATCATTCACTGACGAATAAAAGTTTCTAAACAGATGACAGTTAAAAATTGGATCTCGCGCGATGATCTTTAAGTCATAATAATCATAGAGTGTGGTCGATGTTAACTTTACAAATTATTTGTTTAATATCTTTTTATTTGTTATCATTTAATAACTATTTATACCTGTGTGATTATTTGTCAACACTGAATTAAATCTGAAGTAAGAAAGTTGCTATTTCAGTAAAGATGATGAAACTCTACAGGTGATCAAACCATAAGTTTAGAATGGCTGAAAATATTCGGCATCGCATAAAAAAAGGCTATCCGGCAATTACAAATTAACATCTGGATTCTGGAGTTTCTATGGCTAGCAAAGCAAGTGGTATCTACAATACAATCAACCAAGTGCATGTGTAGATAAAGATACCAAAGTGGATATCTTCTTACCTGGGGACCTCAGGCTATCATGTTCATAATCATAAACATATTAGGCGGAATGACAGGCTGAGCGCGGCCCAGTAAATATCTTCAGGTAGTAATATCGTTTTCGAATGTCTGCGTTGACTCCTGCAACAACATTTAATTTTACTATCGAAAAGGAAAGAGTGCTTCTAAACCGACAGGAACTGTATGGGAACACATACCAGAAAGTTGAAGCAGATTGATATTTATAAAGTTGTTAGGGGCCCTGATTAACATGCCATGTTTTCTCAGGAACATCACTGCAAGAAGAGTTGTCCGGCGATAAACAGTACAAACAGTGATTTTCAGAGTTTGCCCAAGAAAATACCTTTTTGGACATGGATATTATAACGGGGGAAATGACCTATATACATATTATAGAGTGTAGATGATATGTTGATAGTGTAACATTTGTAAATTAGGTTGTTTGATGTTTTAATTTGATGTATATTTAATGAGCAAATATTTATAACCGCATGATTATTTCGTTTTTGTTAACGCAGCTAAACACAGAAATTGTTACAATCTGAAGTATAAAAATTGGAATTTGAATAAAGATGATATATGCATTATGCAATGGCATTTAAAAGAAAAGCCCTTCTAAATGAGTTCAAACCGAAAGCAAGAGAGCAAAAGCCATGAAATTAATTACAGATTATAGTTGTACAGTGATCATCACTACAAGTTAATTCTCAACAGCTTTATTATTTTGGTATTTCATAACCAGTGGGTCTTAGGAATATACCTATAGTTATGAAGACAGCTCTGTTAGTGTGCACATAATAAATTATTCTTCATACACTGGTCTCGCTAATAGACAATGTCCCAATCATTCATATTGGGTCTCAACATTAACGTTCTGAAAGAGTCCTCTGATTTTATCATAGAGCTGAATCATCATTCTCTACTTGTCAGCAACTCGGCATTGCCTCAATCCAGTCTCACACGCAACTTGAACACAAAACATCAATTTTCTCTGATAATGTTTTACTGCTTGTTCTTTCGCCTCAGAACTCTACACACTATCACAAGTTAACTGAACATAACAGGGTGTCTCACCCCCTTCTCTCCCTCTCAAACGTCCTGCCAACTGCTCATCTCAGAGTTAAGCCCGGAGTTGGAGTTCAACAAACTGTTGGGCATGAGGCTAGCGTTGTTGAATTGGTTTGTATAGTTCCTCTCGGCTCTCTCGCCCAGAATAGTGCTGATAATGTCCGAGTCTCGCTCAGGGTTAGGCTCGCTGGTCAGGTAGACTGGGTACAAGTCCTCGGGCTTGCTGAGCGGGTTAGTGGTGGCTGCAAACACCGGGATTCTGTTGTCCATGATGTCACTGGCGGGGTTGTCCAGGGTGGAACAGGAGATCTCCATGGAGCTGGGCCGGGGTTTGGTGGTCAGAGAGTCGTGTTTGAGTGCGGGGAGGGTTGAGATCCCGTTTAACCGGTTTGGGAAGTTGGCGGGATTGTAGTCGTCCCGGTAGTCCACATTCTTAGCCATTTTGTATCGGTGTACCTTATTCCGCCTACTGCGCCTGAGATTGGTTTCTAGAGATACCGTGAATATTGAAACTATCACTGAGCTTTAATTTTAGTATTTTTAGTATTAGTATAAAGTGGAATTATGACAGATTTCTAAACCAGTGCATTAGGTAATCACACTGTAGATCGACATACACTGTATAATGTATATCGTGTATTATACTTACTTAACGAGCACGGCTATTATGATGATAGTAATGAAGAGTATAGCTGACGCGCCAGCTCCAATGTAAATTATAAGATACTTTTTAGGAAATCTCTCCGATTTCTGCTGTGGGTTTTCCTCCTCCTCTGACCGGCCCTTCACTGCTGAAATGTAATATTGTGAGGGGTTGTTGAATGTTGAGAGTTTCTCAAGAGTTGCCAGAACAGCTCCTCGTGTCCTCATCAGTATTTCAATGTGTTCTCCATAGATTTGATGCTTATTGCTAATTTCCATGTCGTTATAACAATAATGAAATTTGAAAGTGTAAAATGATGTGTTTGAATGATTGCCAACGAGAATCTACAGTAAAAGAAAACGAAGAAACGAAGTGTCTCAAACTATCAGATATATATACAGTGTCTGCAATGACTTCTTACATTTGCCATCTTCGTTACATTTCTCCACCAGCCAGATCTGGTTTTCCCCGCAGATAGCACGTGCGATGTTTTGTTGGCAGTTTTCCAGCGTTATCTCGGTTCCGACCTCACTTTTGGGGAAGTGGTTCGTGTGTGAACAGTACTTCTTGTTTCCTGGAAATGTAAGTTCTGTTAGTGGATGTTAAATCAGACGATGTTTGCTGAAATAGATAACTGTAATGAATTTTAGTTCATGAGCAAATCCCAACTTTCTTTACCAACATTTTTGAAATACTTTAGTCATTGGAATGGTTCGGTCGTACATTTCACAATCTCAATGAAGCAACAGCAAGAAAGCTCGAATTTTCTGACTTTTAGTTCAGAATAGATATCATTAGATAAGTGACAAAATGTCTCTATATAATTTTTATTTGTATACTGAAAGGTCTTCCTACGATCGCTTTTAAATTTTGTAATCATAAAATTGTGATTTGACGCACAATAACCGTCACAAGGCATATTAGTTAAATTTTTCAATGTGCTCAGTGACGACTTTTGCATGCAATTTATAAATAACTCCTTAAATCTATCAAATACTATTAAATGAGTGCTTTAACAGTAAAATAAAATAGGTTTCAATTTTAACGTCAGACTCATAGGCTACATGATGTTCTAGACATGAAATCATTTTAATTTAGGTTGAATGAATATGTTACCATTAATCTCGAGACAATTCTGACTTTCTTTACCAAGATGTTTGAAATAATTTAGTCGTTGCAATGGTTTGGTCGTACAACCTCAAATAAACAACGGCAAGAAAAGCGACATTTTCTGATTTATTCTTCAAAATAGATAAGTGACAAAATGTCTTTATATAGTATATATTCGTATGCTGAAATGGCTTCATAGCCGTTTCCTAAAATTGGTTTTAAATTTTAATCATAAAATTTTGATGTGACGCACAGGAACAGTCGCAATAACCACTCTTCTTGAAACTGTATAACATCAATAGTAACAAGAATTTCATATTTAAATAGCGAGTTTGCTGATCCATTTTCATTATTTTCAGAGCTTTCAGCATTTACGTTATCCGGCTAATTGTTAAAGCTATGATTAGTTTTGTCACAGTTCTAGCAGCCTTCCTCACGAACAGTACCGGTGCAATTGGACTCGAGGAAGCAACTGAAGGATGCATAGAGTTTTGTATGGCGAAAGAGACCTGCTATGGAAACGTGTGCTATACACAATGTAAAACCAAATGCATATTAAGTGCACGAGCAATGATCGAGAGAATGGTTAGGGGTAAAGATTGTATGAAGCATTGCACTGAGATAAATGAATGTAAAACGGAAGAGTGTGTTGTTCATTGTAAAGAAGACTGCATGGCTGGACGTAACGAGATGCCTGGCCGCAATTCTGGTCGCAACCGGGAAAGAGAAGGGGAGAAAAGAGGTGGCAAAAAGAGGGGAGATTGGAATAAGAATGAAACAACAGAGAATCTGGAAAAACTGATGAAAGGCAAAGTTTGTATGCAGCGTTGCGTGACAGCATATGAATGTAGAACGGAAGAGTGCGTGCTGCACTGTAACGAAGAGTGCATGCCTGATTTTAGCACTGTTAAACTGAGACATGCAGCTTTGGATAAAGGTAATGAACATCACAATTAGTTACCACGATGTAAGATTGTGCATTGTGCAAGTATTTGAGCTATTACGAATATTATCTTCGAACAAGTATAAAACTTGTTGTACTCGATACAAGAGTCAATAATGCATTCTCAGTGAATCTATTCACTTCATGATAAAGTTTTTGCAATTGAAGCCATTACTAGCATTAATCGAAACACACGACAGAACATAGAGTTGAAAAACTGATCCAGGTCCGGACACAGCGGAGACATGTGAACACAGTGGAGCTCCTCTGTCAATGGATTGTGGAGAGAATGTGATAAATATCAAGCATGCAGCCTATGGTGTTTACTCCAATGATAACACTTGCGGACTTTCTTACGATGGACACTGCCTTTCTGAATCTTCACTTGAGGTATCATGACATTGGCAATAATTTTACTTACAATAAAATTGATCTTTTATTGGTGCTAAATATACTATATTATGTGCATTTTCGATCAGTTGAGATACAAACTCAGGTGATGCAAGAGAGATGCGATGGAAAGTATTCCTGTGCAACAAATGCAACAAACAGTTTATTTGGTGATCCTTGCATTGGAATAGAAAAGTACTTGACTTCTACATGGGAGTGCATTAGTCCAGGTCACAGGTTAGATTGTAATACAAAATTTCCGACGCGCTCAAGTGATCAAAAGTAACATTTTTGTTGTGTAAATAAAATGTGAATAAACAGTAATACTAGAACGATCAATGAAACTTAATTTCATATGTAACAGATAGGAGGTGAAGAGAGAAGAAACAATGGGGTCGATAAAAGGAAGAAACTCGAAAGATCGGAAGATAGGCAATAAAGTATAGAAGCCTCTATATTGTTTGACATTTCGACTTAAAACTGTATATTTAATTCTGAACTATAATAGTCTATTGTCTAACTTGTGTTAAGTCACTATCCAATATTCGTGTACAGTTTCCCGCTACATTTGTTAGACTGCTGGCTACAGTCCAGATCACGAACTAAAAATAATCTTTATGACGCATCTAGTTAATGAGAAAAAAATTATTGATTTACCGTCCACTTGTCCAAAATAAGAAAAATACAAAACAACTCACTTTCGTCGATAGTAATCCAGTCCTTCTCCTTGACGGTTACCTCGCCTCCCATTTGAACGGCCACATTCCTAAAGTCATCATCTCTTCTCAGGTAGCTGGTCAGGGTACTCACACCGTTGTACACCAGACCAGCTATAGAGCCGTTAACTCCCCGGGTTGGCGAGGCATTTCCTGGACAGAAGTCTGGTTTAATTTAACGTACTATTTGAGTGAATATCGCATGATTAATGTTCTGGATTTGTGTAAGAAAGAAATAGGTTTTACTTTTTGTGGAAAGTTTACAGATACTCAAGCCTTCCAAATAGATGAGAATGCTCCTAAAAATTATTATTTAAACGGAAGAAGATAAATAATGGGATCACAAACCTATGACGATCTCAGCAGGGTATATGAAATCCTCCACACTTTCCAAACTCTCACTAGTAGTCACATTGTTTATTGTAATGTGGATATCTGTGCCGTTCTGATCTATCTTTATGTAGTACACCTTAAAACAGTATGCTTTGATGAGAATATTTAAAAAACTAAAGTACAGGAATTCAGTTTCAGCACGTGAATATTAGGTCATTTGTATTAAGTCATTGTCGGAGGTTTAAATTCTCTGTTTGGCTTCGGTCCAAGTGTGAAAATACTAAAATAATTTTCAGTCTCAAAACCAAGTAGCCAGTAGGTCGTGTTACTGAGATCATGGCGAGAAAGAACGTTTAAAAAATAATTGACGTGATTCCGTACCTCATTATTCGTAAGTTGCTACAATAATGGTGAATGTGTATACCAGAACATGGCTGGAGAATACCCTGAGGGTTAATTAGGGAAACTGATTGGGTAATTACCTCGTTAGGGACGAATTCCTTGCCGACCATGAACCACCGGCTGACTGCAGGGTGTCTCAAGTTAGCCAGCACTGACAGCCTCATCTGTATCAGTGATACCTTGATAAACTGAGGGAGGTGGATATTAATTGGGTGAATAAACTTGAAAGATAAAATGAGGCCAAGAGGTATAATAATTGTTAATGAGGTGAACGTTTAATCAGTGAGAAGCTCAACCCATTAAAACTTTAATTTCATTAAGATTTTCATATGAGTATACATTATGATTTTATGATAGGGTTGATTAGACCAAGTCTTAAGCCTTTGTTCCCCTTTAAGACAAAAGACCAAGAAAATTAGTCGTCCCTGGTAATATGTTCTGTTCCTTTATTCAGAATATCTGGCATAGCAAGTTAATCCCGAATATGATATCCAATGGTTCGCCGTGTACACTGTACAGTGTTGCCAGAAGGTTCTACTGTAGAATCTACTGTACTAATACTATGGGGTCGTTCACATATTATTACGTAATCAGCCGAGGGGGAGGGGGGTTTCCAAATGATTACGCTAGTGTAATTTCGACACAATAGCTGTGTAAAACTGTTACGTTGCTACGTAATATGTGAACGACTCCTATCTGGTAGTTTAAGATAACCCCTGGGTATGACTGAATTTCAAATTGAAAACCTAACATGACTCAAATTATCATGATCCAATTATTTCATATTTAGGTGAAGAGATTAGATCCATCTAAAAGATAGATTTAAATAAAACAGACAGTTAGAGATATCTGTAAAAAATAACCAACTTTAAGAAACGTATTAATGTTAATGTATATAAAAACTAACCTGTTCAGTCCTACTCTCACTTCTGATACTGATGATATGCTGCTTGTCCTGAACCTCATCATCAAGCTGAAGATACAGGGAGAAGCAGTTCCTAGCCGTCTTGGTCTTGGTCTCGTTCTTGAAGTTAACGTAGCCGGTGGGTTTGAGTTCCAGGGAGGGCAGTACTGTGGAAGTGAAGAGTTAGGTAAACGTGGGATTGGGGAGGCGCACGTTTGTTTTGTAACGTGACAGTGGTTGGACATGAAGAGGCTGTCTGCATTAATAGACGGCCAATATAGGCCGCCACTCGCCAGTCAAGTGTCTAAACAAACTTGTGTCAAATTCCCATCTTTATCCATATTTATGTGGTCTCCTCAGTGTCTAAGAAATACGGAGATAGCTAAATATTGATCCGTGCACCTAAACCTAAATAAGAATGTAAATTCAGATCGGCGAAAAGCATAGGTTTCAACCCTTGACAAAATCAGAAGTTCAAATTTCAGTTTTAAACTCACATTCGCTGCGAACCAGAACTATCACCAGTCCGATGAAGACTAGTGAAGAGATACATGGCGTTCTAATGATCATTTCTAAAACAGAGTCAATATTTAGTAATAAGTAAATAACAAATTTTCTATAAACAAAATAAAAATATCGACAATCGAAAGGCTTAAATTCCTAGTTTTCTTGACTTGCATCTGTACAATACTATACAATGTAACGCATCAAAAAGTTCCAAAGCTACACTAAAAGCTTTTAAAGATCGATTATAATAGAAACTCCGAGGCGCGTTGAGAACTCATCAAAAACATCTCTTCTACACTTACACATTTAGAAGTACCCCTGTTAAATAATCGAACAGAAAAGAGAGCGAGAATTATTGTTTTCATCGCAACTCCATGTGGAGTCCGGGTGTCCTTAGCTGAATAGTAACGGCATTGTGAGTTATATTGAGAAAAGAGTCTCCTCACAGTAATTAGCCGTACAGATGAACCTTCTAGAACGATCATGTGATGGTTAGCACTACTGGTGTGTTCACAATCTGGATGTTTAACAGTCCAAGTTGGTGAAGATCGGGTTTCTTAGTACTACAATCATCATCACGTTCATCACGTTCATCAAACTCAAGGGGTCTCATACAACTACAAAGTGTAAGATTGAAACAGCTTAAATAAATTAGAACCGTGAATGATCCCCCTTTAAGTTTAAAACCAAGCAAAGATGCAAACCCTGGGCCGTAATTTCACTACTAAGACAAACGTTTCTAAAAGCACTAAACTCGATCAAGAGACACACCTGAACTGCAAACTGCAAAGACAAAAGCTGTTTAAAAGGGGAACCATGTAGGTATAGTGTATAGTGACGGTTAACTAAATATAGGATAATGATATAGTGAACACCTGCGTGAAAGACCGCCAGTGCTGCCCTACAAAGGGGTCTTCAGCCAATAAACAAGCTTGAAACCTGTCACGTGACCTACAAGGAGGTCCTCAGCTAATAAAAGAGCTGAACAACAGTCATGTGATGTGAACTGTAAACTCAACTTGTTATAAAGATATACACGTTAGAGCGAGCAAAGTGTAATTACGTTGGAGCATCTCCCGGGCCCACGACCCCCGAGGTGGGGTATGAGAGCTCCAATAAATTAATTACGAGGACTTCACTTAATGGGTAATATACCCGTCAATATCATACGGTGAGAGGTGGGTTTAAGTGGCTGGATTTTAATATTAATTAAGCAACACAATGGCCGGAGGTAAAGATATAGGTCGAACAACGCGGAGTTATAATAGATCCCCGATTTACTAAATCTTCAATGTAAATGAGGAGAGCTGTGTAAATCATTGTCAGTCTAACTTGTGGTGGTCGTGTCACCAGCGCTCTCATTATAATACAACCCAGATCTACAAGCTATTGTCCGGCTCTTGATTGCTAGATAATTATAACCCAAACCCTCCGTTCATCTGATTGGAGATGAAGAGAGCACGTGTCTATTGCTCCCTGATGATCTGATGATATGTCAGCGTGTGGTCTGAATGATGTTGATAACAATGGTAATAACAATAGTCTTGTTTTGAACGGTCTCTAACAAAGGCCTGGTGTATAAATTGATGTAAGTACTGGAGTCGATCTGACTACTGAGTGTGAAGTTGACTTTAAATTGTTAGTTACTGGTTAGTTACTGGTTAGTTACTGGTTGTGTAGCTCTTTGAGACACAGACCACAGTAAGTACTCTAAATTTAATGAGGAACTCGTAATAAGAAACTGTTTACATACAGTTTCACTAAGATGCTGAGTTCATCGTATTACAGATTGGTAGAAAATGAGTAGTACTATAAATTGGCAATTGCAAGATTGTTGTAGCAAACTAAAACTCAGAACTGTAAAAGAAGATTCGTCAACAGAATCCACTCAGGTCCGCGCCACAAGAAAAAACCCAGTCATTCAAGAGATCTGCTATTAAATCACGTCATGTCTATGAAAAAATTAGGGAATTTTAGGGTTTTAAACATTGCTCAGTACCTCTGAGATGTCTATATTCGTGAGAAAGCAGAGGAGCATGATTCTGACAGGCTTCTCTCTTGACCTCACAATCCCCGAAAACACGGAGCTCAGCCAATCTGTAAATCTAGTGGGTGTGACAGGCCGAGAAAGCCATATCAGAACTCTGGAGGGTGAGAAAATTAAGGTCCGGAGCTTTCCAGCTTGAAATAGAAACACTAAACAACACGTATCTCGCACAAGTGAACCAGTATAACTGATAGTATAAACGGAATATTTACTGCAATTGGTTGAGACTAGGGTGGAGGAGAAGCAGTATAGTTCTCTCTCCAGCACGTGCTAAGTCCCCAGCACGTGCTAAGATGACATGTTAACATGATAATGTGACCACACACTTCGACCACACAACAAAACAATACATGATGCGTCTCTAATAGGTAATGAGGGCACAGCTTAACTGCTCGGAAATTAATTCCCTGATCTTTCGGGGATCACAAACGTTGACAGCTTATATAAGTTTAAAACAAACAAACTACGAGGACCAATCAGCGGCCGGTATTCGACCACGTGATGAAACTACCCAATCAGAGTTGAGCTGGGGAGGGATGTTAACCAATCAGGGACCAGTATTATTGTGGTGACGATGACAGGTAGTGGCGCGTGCCCGGGAGAGAGATTGGGGCGTTTAAACTGACGGTGCTGTAAATTGTATTGTCCAAAGCATCAGCTCCAGCCGATATATATCTATAGCAACGGAGGAGCGGACAATTATTTATGTAGATCAGGGCCGATAAGAGTACCTTGGGTCTCGTATAATCATGATAATGGGTAATCAATGGATACTATCGGGGTTGTATTACTCAGACACGACAACTCAATCCGTCTGTACCTTATCACAAGTATATTGTGTCTAAGATCGTATTGTTGAACAAAGAGATTGGCCAATGGGTACGATGCTGAGGATCAACTTAATTCATTATGCAATATGCATTGTGTGAGAGTCTAAAAGTTGAACAAGCATGATGCGGGTATATAGTGCCGCTGTATTAGTATTCACATCAACCTTATACAAAATGAAAAATTCAAGTTTTAAAACGCAATATCATTAAGTTATCACAATCTGTACGAGCACGAGTTTCTTCAAGGTATCAAGAGTACCTTACAAAGGTTATGTTAGCATTATTAGGCAAGCTAAAGGCGCTCTCCAAGCTTACTAACTGTACTCTCCAGGCTGCAACCCATCTTGGTACAATACATACAGAAGGAGTGAAGCCATTAAACCAGTCAGACCTACTGAAAAATTATCCAATTTACTTAGCTCCGTACTGAGGAGTGCAAGTCATTACTTTGATTCATTAAGCTAACGAGCTAATTAAACAAATGTGAATGTGTGTCGAGGGAAAGAGGGGAAGTTAAATCTTGCAATGAACGGAGATTTAGACTCGTAATGAACTAATGAGGTTGGGAGAGTACCTCCCCGGTTCTAGAGAAATCCATGTATTAGAGCTCCAGATCATGGCGGGTATTATATTCTTTAGGGTATATCCTGCGTTGCATTAAAGGAAGTTTTTATTAAATAGACAATTCAAAAAGCTGATTGAGAAATTTGGTTAAGCGGAGGCTTAAGTGGATGCAATAAAATCAGTAATTTTACCGCGAAAACTAAAATCTATGTAAAATAAAACTCGAGATAGATAATTCAGTCGTGGCAGTTTTTCAATCAATCAACCCGATCGGCTTACGATAAAATATCAGCGTTAATCGATTTTTAAGCTAATTGCATTGAAAAATAACGCTTAACACGGACGCATGGTCACAGGTCAGTTCATTTCAAACTTTGTTATAAAAGAGGTAGTAAATCAGCGACTGTAAACTGTAAATAAGATAGAAACCGGAAGCCATCAAAACTTTTTCCGTTAATCAATTAATTGTATTGTGGAATAGCAATGACATAATCTTGGTAGTTCAAATTAGACACTCTACAAGTACAACTACGATTATCAAATAAACCAGGACAGCATTTTCCTGGGTTCAAATTAAAATCTCGCTCCTAAATAGGTGCTGTCAAAGGTTCCAGAAAAAAGACAGTTATTTATTATTCTGGATCTTGAAACATATAAGTCTAATTTATTACATTTAAGAGTCTAAAATGTAATACGTTTGACTAATAAAAAACCTCAGATTAATAAAGAAGGCGTATGCCACACCCAAGTATCTCGTGTTAGACACACACTTTGTGTCAAGGTTGTGTGATACGAGCTAGTTATCCTGTCATGTCCATGAGTCTAAGAAACCTTTCCAACCACAGCACTTTTCTTATCATTACGGCAGTGACACAAAAACGGTCTGCCAACAACTGACTGTTCGTCTGTATTCACTATTCAGGCAGGTGTGATCTGGTGACACATCAAAGTGGGTCGGATGGTATCAGGCACAAGGTATCGCGCTAAGTCGATCCACTTATGTGAACAGCACCTTATTGGACCAAACAGACAAGCAAATTGCTGCAGGAAAATTCGAGATTATCACCTCTCAAACAAAAGGCATATGTAAAAGAGAAGAGACAAATTTTTGCTCGCTAGCTTTGCAAATGGGAAGCTTTGCCATAATCAGTTAATTAGTGCGTAAAGAAACACTGCTTTTCCTCAACAAGGACAGGCCCAGTTCCAAACCACATGTTCAGACATCAGTGAATACAGCCTGTTAAAACTGATTTTTTATTCGCATTTTGACATTTTTTGTAAACGGAATTAGATAATGAAGGTGAGTCAGTGATCTTATGATCTTGATATAAAGTGGCAAAATGTGCTCTGTTTCTTGGTGACCATTGCATCACGTATGATTTTCATAAATGAACATTAAAGTTTAAACGAGCAATAAGATTCACAAATAAAGGCTACAAATAAAGGCCACAAATAAAGGCCACAAATAAAGGGGTTTGAAAAGTTAAACCTGAAGAAAGCAACGGTGTGGACTCCCTCTGTAAGTGTGAAACGGGAACAGTAACAGAGGCAGCTGTTGATGCAGCAGAACCGTGGTGTACAAGTAGTAGCCTAGTGGCGAAATCCTATCTGTTAAACAAACCCA